AGAATAAGGAACCCCCAAAAACCCTAGTCTAATTATGAAGGCCCCTACAGAATATTTGGACCGCTCTGGGAAAGGTGCACACCTACGTGAAGGAGCTGCTCCGAGAGCTGGGTGAGGATGAGTCCAACATCACGCAACTTGGTTTTTTTCTCAGGGACTTAGATATGACGTTATATATATATATGTGTGTGTATATATATATACATACACACACACATATATATATATATATGTGTGTGTGTGTGTCTATGTGTATTTTTCTTGTATGTTTATATACATAGACAGATAGATAGATAGATAGATAGATAGATAGGCAGGTAAATAGATAGGTAGGTGGCTTCATGGTGTTCAAAAGAGTTTGTAACTCGTTTAGAAGAGGCTCTTGGGGAAACTGGTTTTGGCCTGCAGGGTTTACGAAGTAGGGTTTAGGATTTGGGCTGATCTCTAATGCTCGTAGAAATTATGTCGAATGCTCTCCACAGGATGGTTTAGAATAGAACATCATATATGCTCATTGTGGCTCCAAGGGCGATAAAGTCACAAGGAACCTAATGTAAGGGTTCCACGAGGGTTTTGAAGATGCCAAGATACCAGAGTAAAGCAACGAATACCATATTATGGCTTTGGGAACTATGTCTCCCTTATGGTTGTATAGGTGTAGGGTTGTCCATCATTCGGAGGCTCTTCGATTGCAACCCAGGAAATTCCAGACCGGTGGCCCCGACGGAGACCTCGGGAGCAATGAGATTCTCATTTCCAAGGACATGACTGTCGGAAGCTGGGCACAAAACAAGAATTCAAATTATACTTTAAGTTACGGAATAGTAGGGATCGAATTAGAGTAGATAGCATGCAGGAATTGACACAAACCCAGGAATCGTCGATGGTTCGGGGGTCCTCTACGACCCCAGCGGCATTTGCAGGGCAGAGTTGACGCGCCTGGCACAGCAGCGCGTGCCCATCAAGGAGTTCAACCGGTGCTTCCTCGGGAACGGTGCTTTCTTGGTCACCGTAGACGAGACTTGATATGTGCGCGTCTAGCACGAAACGTTCTTTTTTTCTTAAGAGTACGGACGCCGAATTGGGTAAGAGTGCTCCCCAGTGAACCCTGAATGATACAACCACACCTGAGAGAACAAGCAATACCATTTGCCCTGAACCTTCAGCCCAAGGAGAGCAACGTGACGCTTCCTGATGGCTCTGTGTGGCTGACGGGTGCAGAGCTCCGTGACAACTTCCATCTCACCGACTCTAACCCTTGACTTTATTATGGTGTGTATATATATATACACCTATTTATTCGTTTATTTCCATTTTAAATTTAACTATAGCTATATGTGTATGTATATGTGTATTTATACGTTTTGTTGATTTGTTTAATCCAATTTAATACAATCTAATATATTCTACTATTATATTATATGGTACGGTACAATATTGGCTGCTAGGCTGATGATTACACGTGTAGGCGTCGGCTTCTTCAGCCTCCGAAAGCACGGATCGCATGTCAATCATCTTCGGGCTTCATGAGCCGTAACCATGGGGCCCAATATAGAAGCCTGAATAATTAGGCCCTAAACCCTAAACCCTATACACCCCAAACCCAAACCCTAAACCCTAAACCCTAATCCAGAGCTTAGGCTACAGTTCTCTAGAGACCTTGGCATTCCCCAGGATAACCTTATGTTTGTACTATATAATCTGTGGTCTAAGGCCCCTCTATTACAGGCTCCACCTCCAAAGAGCCTTCTTGGTGAAAGGACTACGCATCTGCAGACCTTTTCGTGCCTTGCGGTGGGCGACCGAACGCCGTGCCGACCTAAGCTCTCCGTCCGTTCTCAGGAGTGCGACATCTTCACTCCATCCAAAAGTCTCCCGGGGGTCAGAGTCTAGGAGCGGAGTTTCTGCTTCCTGCGCCAATGATTGCTTTTGGAATGTTAGGGTGTGTCGCTCCATTATTCTTGGTGTTGTTCGAATTAGATACACTCCAGGGACTCCAGCAAGCTGCGCTGAAGCAAGGTGACCACGGATAATGTCAAAAAGCTCTTCACCGCAGATGGATCAAGGCCTCGGTCAGACCAGTACTCATAAAGTTCACTTTTCAGGCGCCCTTTTTTTTGCAGGCTTGACTTCAGCTGCATGGCTTGACAGCATCATTTGAGCAGCGACGGTATGTGCTTTGACATGTTTCCTCGGTTCTCCTTTGCAGGCCGAAATTCCGCCTGATCGTGGAGGGCGCCAACCTATTCTTCTCCGATCGTGCGCGAGGCCATGTCGAGGGGAGGGGTGCGACTTTGGGCGGGATATGCGGCAGGTGCCCGTGACAGTACTACGACCTTTGGCGCAAACTCGATTGTGAACTAATATGCGCAAGTCTTGACTGCGCTCAAGCTCGGGCAGCGCCCACGCAAGGTTTGTGTTTGAGTGATATACTGATGAAACCTCGCATGCGCAAGCATGCGCAAGAGACACTCAAGGCTCAGCGCAACGGTTGCGAATATGCACACATGAGACAGAGACATTGAGCAAGCCTCATGTTCCATTTCCGGTACATGTTTCGGCAGGGTGCGCTCATCATCGTGGGATGCGGATTGTACTGATTGAGGGAGGTGATGAACAACTGAATATATTCTCAGTAACCGTGCGTTCCCACTGCTGTCCTCGTTTTTCTCGTCCGGCTGTGTCACAGACACCCCCTTGTGCCACTGTGCGAGGTGTCCTTGAGGGAGCCGGTGTTCACGTCTTCAAGGATGCATCAACCAACAAGGCCAATGGAATTCTGGGTATCGTACCTTCCAGTCTCAAGCCCTTTGGTCTGCTGGGAGACTAGCTGGTCAGCCTTAAAGTGAGCCCGCAATCTGCCTGAAAGCAGGCAGGGCTGTGCAGTAGAGGAGCGTTCGGAATTTTTAGTCGGAAACCACCCGAGACTGCCTGAGACTCGGCACGGACAGGGTGGCGTGAATTCGAGTTCGCTCGAAGTCCTTGCGGCGCTGGCTCTGTCTGAAGAGGCAAGGAGAGCCGGGAAGAGCATCGATTTTCCCCTTTCAACTCTTTTGCCCTAGACCAGAAAGCGGTGGAGGAGGAGGAGGAGCAGGAGGCGGTGGAGGAGACGAGCTAATGCTATCCGCCAGACATCTTCAGCACCCACTCTACTCGAACTCCTTGCCTTGCGCTTCAGGTCTTGCAAGCAGCGGAACCTGTCACTACCTGTGTGGACTCCTGTGTGGCGACATGCAGCTATACATATACTTACATACATGCGTGCCTACATACATACCTACATGCCTGTAGAGACAGACACACAGACAGACAGACAGAGCGAGATAGAGAAGCCGACCTACCTACCAACCTACCTACCGACCGACAGACAGAACGACAGACAGACGGACTGCCCCTCCACAGGATCACTCCGCAATGATGTGCTACAACCCGGCCAATGGCGGCATACCACCTGAGTTTTACGAGACCTACGTCAAGCAAATTCAGGCAGTGGTAGTCTGAGAAAGAGGGTTGTGGCTTTCGGAGTTGGTGTTTATTGGGGATGCAAGGTCTGTTGAAGCAGTCTACTTGCTACAAACTTGCTATGCCACGTTGTTGCACGTTGGGAAGTCCCTGCAGCCCTCACAACCTCTCTGGGCGAAATCCATGTCCTTACATAGTGAACGTAGCTCATGCCCTGAAGTCATGTCCATCGTACGGTTTAGGGTTTGGGGCTGGGTGTGTGTGCTCCAGAGCCTCATGTGGGAGTTGTCTTGAACCTTCCTGCCCTTGAAAACGCCCATTCCATGCATACATCAGACTGCCACCCCTAAACCCTAAACCCTAAACCCCCCCAGATGTAAGCAGATGGAACCTGGACTTGCCGCAAGCCTCAAGACACAGCTCGTGCCATGCTGCAAATCTTTTTTTCCGGTGCTGTGGTCATTAGTACGACTATTTAATTATTGTTGTCATTATTAGTTTTTACTGTTATTATTTTTTTTATTGTTTTTATTGTTACGAGTAATAGTCATTATTACTATCATTGTTATTGTTATTGTTGTTATTTTTGGTCTTATGAATATTACTCCTGCTATGTATTATTGTTGTCACTATTATAGCTATTATTACTACTATGATTACATGTATTTCTGTTGGTCATGATGATTCAACCTTACAGCCGGACAAGGGAGCGTTCGATGCAATCATGGAACCTATGCTGGACATTGCAAATAAACTGTTTGTTTAGGGCTTGGGGTTCAAGGCCAAGCTTTAGGGCTTAGGTTTGCGGCTTGGGTGGTTTAATTGGGTGGTTAGTGTTGAGACGGGTTTAGGGTGATCGGACCAGGGCCTGTGTCTAGCGATATATCATGACAAGACTGTCAGACTCAGCTGCTTCCCCGCCCCCGCACTAACTTTAGATTCGACAACCCAAACACTGAAAGCCTGAGCCGCGAAATTCGCCCATGCCCCGGTCCTCGCCCCAACGCCAAAAGACAAGTGGAATCGAAGCCCCAGCCGCAGGAGACCATCGTGGAGAATGCCCGGCGGGAGTTCCGCGCCATCTGGATGCCTGGCATATCCCTATAGGAGCCAACACTCGAAGCCCACTACCCTAAACCCAAGACCTACTCAAACCCAATCTTTCGTAGTCGTCAAACCCCAACCCCAAAAGCCCCGAAGCCTTAAACCCAAAAATTTCCTCAAACCTCGAAACCCTTCAAAACCTAAACCCCCTAAAGCCCCTCACAAACCCGGAAGCGCCAGTCTTGGGCCCTAAACCCTACGAAACCCTAAACCCTAAACCCTAAACCTCAGGGCCTGCAGAAGTGTGTGCAAATAGTCCAGGCCTGGGTTTTCTTTTGAAAGAGGGCAAGCCGTTGTCTTGCGGGTGTGAACTTGTTTCCCGTGCCTCTCGTTGCTCTGTACTTTCACTCGGTGATCTGAAACTGCAGTGGTCTTTCTTTCATGGCTGTCTTGGGCATTTTGTACACCCCCTGCCCATTCAGCCATCTTTGAGTATGTGCCAGCCGATGGCAGGCTCTTGACCTTGCTTGCGGGAGAAAGGGTCATCATGCTTTAAAAAAAAACCCTAACCCCCCCCCCCAGGAAATGCAACTCTGGCCTCGGGCTCTCCAAAGTTCAGGCCACGAAGATGATCTCTGGATCCTTGACCGGTTTAGGGCTTTAGGGTTTAGGGTTTTAGGGTTTTAGGGTGTTAGGGTTTTGGGTTTAGGGATTAGGGTTTAGGGTTTGTCTTTTCTTCCGCCCTCGCCCTACGGTTGATGATATAAGTCCTGCATTTACCCATAATAAGGGATATACCATAGTTCCCACAGCTTAGGGTCCTTAAGGTAATGCAGGATGGAAATCATCAACAGTAGTAGTTGCGTGTTTAAGATTCAGGGTTTAGGGCTGTGCTAGCACCTGGCTTTGGGGGGTAGAGTGTAGGACCGGCCCTAAAAACCTATAGTCCCTGTGCCTCGAGTTGAATCCCTGTATGTGTGGCAGCCGACCTGGGCCCACCTGGATCCTAAAACCCTAAACTGCCCTACACCCTTACTAAACCCTAAACCCTCAACCCATCCACCTTGTGAAACCCTAAACCCTAAACCCTATATGCATAGTATCTAGGCACGCCGAATTGAAAGAGGGGGGCGGGACCAGTGAAGCAGGTTTTCGCCGGTATAGTAGGTGATGAGACACGATTAGGGTTTACGGTTTAGGGGTTTAGGGTTTTGGGCATTTTGGGTTTCGGGTTGAGGGGTTTAGGGTTTAGGGGTTTAGGGTTTAGGGTTTGGGAGGGAAACACAATTAGGGTTTGGGTTTAGGGGTTTTGGGTTGAGGTTCCCCCCAAATTCCAAAAGACACCGAGGCTGCGGGGGGTACGGGTATCTCCCTAGCTCAGATACTGGTATGCCTGTAGTCTCCATTGTGGTTCCTTTTTTGGGGTTACCCTGTATTGCCTTGTAGGATACAAAATGGAGACGATAGGTATACACTATAATAGCCCAACCATCAGAATGTTAAAGTTGCTTCTCGTGTAGCCTAAGACCAGGGTGGCCTTGCTTCGCCCTTCGGATTGTGGTCCTTCCGCGCCTGTGCGTTTCCTGTTGCGGAGCATCCTTGGGAATCCCGCGTAGGGATTCTACAGGGGTTTAAGAGCTTGGGAATTCGGGATCAAGAGCTGGGCGGTTTACAGATTCAACGTTCAGGGTCTCTTCGTTTCTACGATCGGTCTGACACATTGGGAGCAGGGCTTTGGGCCTCAAGCCTGAAGACACGGAGCCCTAAACCCTAAATCCAAGGGTAGCGGTTTGTTACAGCTACAGTCCCCAAGGCAAAATCAACCATCTACAAGATGGCATCATGGCCCAATGCAGCCGAATGGCGGCCTCGGACCGTGACCAGCCACTTTGACAGACTCACTTTAGACCTAAGCCCTAACCCCGCAAAAGACCGCAACCTCCCCAAAGGTTTGGCAGAGATGATGCGGGGCAACAGTGTCGGGATCTGGGTTGATTCTATGCAGGATGGTTAACACGATCAGGTTCCCTGCCTGGACGAGGGCGACCATGTGTAATCGAGGGTGGCGGTGCCGTTGCGGACATGCGGGCGTCACGTGTTGTTTGACCTTACTCGACTCAGCTGAAAGGGTTGCTTCAGGGCGGTTGCGACATGTCGCGCTGAACCAGACGACCACGTCATCCCAAGCTTCGGGCACCGCTCGTTTATCGTCAGGTTGATCCGCTTCGTACTTCAGCGAGCTGTCCCTCCTGTCATGGTCCAGCATCTCGGGGTGGAAGGACCCTGGCCCAACCTCGACGGAGAGTCTGTCTTGGTGTGGCTGTAGGTACGGGTATGAAGTCTGGGACCATGTCCGAAGAAGGCGATGGCAGTAGCTTAAGCTTAAGTGGATAGAGAGGCTCGATACAGGTGCGGTGACGGACCGTAATACCGTAAGATGTTCCAGTCAGTGGCAATACCTACGTCCAGTATCTCAAGTATAGGTTAATAAGATCTACCCCAAAGCCGTTGTTGTTGTTGGTGGTGGTGGTGGTGGCGGCGGCGGCGGTGGTGGCGGCGGTGGCGGTGGTGGCGGTGCCGGTGCCAGTGGCGGTGTCGGCGGTAACGGTGGTGGTGGTAGTGCTTGCGATTGCGCTTCTGGTTGTGGTTGCGGTTGTGGTTGTTGTTGTTGTTGCTGCTGCTGCTGCTGCTGCTGCGGCTGTTGCTGCTCTTGCTGTTAGTGTTGTTGTACTTGTCGTATTACGGCATCATCATTACCACGGCTTTTGTGCACCATACGATATTCAATCATGAATGAGAGAGACCATGGACTAGAGTTAAACAGCTTTCGCAACTACCTGTTTCCGGAAGGAATTCTGCAGCGTGTGCCTAGCAACTACGTCGAGGCTATCGTAGGCGGGCATAACTGTCTTGTCACTGATATCAGCTTGCTCTCTCTCCGGCGGGCTCTCTGTTTCTCTTTCTCTCTCGCTCTCTCTCTCTCTCTCTCTCTCTCTCTCCCTCTCTCTCTGTCTTTCTCTCTGTTGCCCGAACTGTATAGTCTGCACCTGTGGTCTCATCTAGTCAGTCCGTTCCCGTACTGGCTATATTCGGGTTTCCTTAACAAGAGCCTGAGTGTGAGTGTCGCGGTTTTCTGGCGGTGTCTACGTAAAGCAGTCCGAAACCTTGGATGGTCGACTCCTGCGCATGTTGCTTAGAAGTTCGGGTAGATGTGCCGAAGCCTGCAGAGGTGAGTGGCAGATGCATGCCAGTGAACACTTGACGACAGCTTCAGCTTCGTTTTCATTGCAAGTTTCTGCCTTCCGAGTCTGACTCGAAACAAGCGGGCTTCGAGTGCTTTGAGATCATCCCGGCAGGTGCATGGGTGGCATCGAGATTTGTGTCGGGTGCTCAGAGGCAGGAAGGCTTTGTCAGCCTCAGCTGCAGACAGCCGTCCTCTGCAGCAAGCCCCGAATCCTCAGTGCTAAACCGAACTCCATAAATCCTAAACCCCCAACTCCAAACCTGAACCTGGAGTCCGCACTCCGCAACTCTGTGAACCCTCCTAATTAACCACGAAAAACCCGCTGAAACACAACAATCCACGATGCGATGTGCCACTTCCTTCTCTGCTTGAGGTACAGCCAGGGCGTCGATGCTTCCGAGGTCTCCTTCTTCTTCTTCCTGCAAAGTGGCTCAGCTGCTACCGTCTAGGGTTCAAGGCTTGAGGGTTGAAGGCTTAGGGTTCCCTAACCCCCCAGGTACCTACCATATAGGGTACTAGAGCCCCCAGGGCCCTATATAGTAGGTACCTGGGGGGGTTAGGTGGTTTAGGGTTGTTGAACATGCTACAGGCTCCAAAGCCGTGGCGTAGATGTGCCTCGACGGATCGAGCCAGGAACCGATGCCCATACCAGGCCCAGTACCATGACAACCACCACAATCACCACCGCACCCGTCATGCATACATACATACATACATACATGCATGCATGCATGCATGCATGCATGCATGCATGCATGCATATATATATATATATGTTTACCTTTTTTGTATTTATCTAATTTATTTGATTTATTTGTTGTTGTTTATTTGTTTGCTTTCATTCATTCATTCATTTATTTATTTAAGCTGACATACATACACATATATAGATAGATAGATAGATAGATAGATAGATAGATATATATATATATATATGAGAGTCATATAAACAGATGTTTCGCCCAGACAAGCCTCGCAGTCCAAGAAGAGCCGCTGAGGTTTGCTAAGCAACGAAAGTCCGCGGGAGGTCTGAGGAGTTCCAGCGTCCTGTACCTACAGGGCAGGAGCTGGGGTTTAGGGTTTAGGGTTCCTGAATAGTTGCCATACTATTATGGAGGTTCCATACTATAGGTATAGCATAGAGGGCCCCAGAGCCCTATTCTAATTATTAAGGCCCCTATATTAAAGGGCAGGAGCTAGTCGCTTTTCTTCTCTTACAGTCCTAAGGGCAGGTAAGGATGGATGAGCAGTAGGAAGGTAGATGTGAAGATCGACCTTTGAGGGTTTAGGGTTTAGGGCTTAAGATTTGTCTCTTGGACCATGGCTTTTGGAAGTTTGCATCTTCCCTCTGATTCGCTTCCCTGCTGGACTGATCAGAGTGAAGTTTTACTCGCGGTTGATTTTAAATCAGCCCCTTTCGGGCAGCGCTGCAGCTTCAGCCGGGCCACTCAGTGTGGCCTTCACACTGGTCGAGCGATAGTCCGGGAGGTTTCGCAACGCTGCTAATGGTGCCATGGGCCTTTTGTTGGTGTGGAAGTTGATAGACTGGTTTGCTCGCCCAGTTGTGTGTCCACTTGGCTGACAGCTCCAAAGCCTCGCCCCGCGCCTGGCGTGTTTGAACTATTCAGACCAGGTCCAGGGTTTGAATTATGCGGCGCCGTCTCCGCAGACCGCCGCCGAATGCATGCACCCTCTTGACGCTGACGCTGTCTCCCCAATTTGAAGAGATGGTGGCTCCAGATACAGTAGGCATCGGTATATAGGCCATTGTTTGAATGCTCTGTGCTGGGAGTCAATGTGCCCCAGGTCTTCGTCCATCGGTGTTCATGCCTACTAAAGGGCAAAATTCGATGGGCCGCAAGCTGAAGCCTGTACATCGGAGGTATGCATCTGCCGGCTGATTTGTACAGACGTGCTCGCCGGCATCTACAGTGCGAGGCTTGCAGATGGCGACCTTGGTGCCACTTCCGGACGCAGAGGATCGAACGGGCCCTCGGATTAGACTGGACGCGCCCGCCACGGGCCACGAGTCTTCATATGCCGTACACAGCGGCACCCGATGGAATGCAAAAAGCTTGCTCACGACGTGCTGGATTCGTTAGGGGCCCTTCCTACCTGCGGCTGCTACGGGTATTGCTGCTGCTGCTGCTGCTGCTGCTGCTGCTGCTCCTGCTCCTGCTCCCGCTTTGGCTCCGGCTCCTGCTACTGCGACTGCTACTGTTATTGCTATTGCTATCAGTTACTGCTTCGACGGCCACGGCTACTGCTACGGCTTCTGCTACCGCTACTGCTACGGTTGCTGCTGCTACTGCTGCTGCTACCGTTACTTCCTCTGCTGCTGCTGCTGCTGCTGCTACTGCTACTAATACAACTACTGCTACTACTACTACTACTCCTCCTCCTGCTACTGCTGCTGTGCTGCTGCTGCTGCTGCTGCTGCTGCTGCTGCTGCTCCTACTACTACTACTACTACTACTACTACTACTCCTACTCCTACTCCTGCTCCTGCTCCTACTCCTAGTCCTACTCCTACTCCTACTCCTACTCCTACTCCTACTACTACTACTACTACTACGACGACGACTACGACTACGACTACGACTACGAGTACGAGTACGAGTACGAGTACGACTACGACTACGACTACGACGACCACCACCACCACCACGACCACCACCACCACCGTCGCCATCACCACCGCCACCGCCACCACCGCCGCCACCGTCACCACCACTGCCACCACCACCGCCTATTCGTCAAGCCTTAATTACTGTGGCACCTGCACACTTTCCGCAAAAGCTTGAAGGCCAAAGCAGGGTTGAATTTCCCACGAGCCAGCTTCCAATGCAGGTTCGGAACAAAAGGTGGCAGTATACCCTTCTAGCATCGCCATCATCATCTTCATCTTCTTCTTCATTTTCATCTTCATCTTCATCTTCATCATCATCTTCATCTTCATAGTCTTCATCATCTTCATCTTCCTCATCATATTCATCTTCATCTTCTTCATCATCTTATTCTTCTTCATCTTCATCCTCGTCATCATCGTATTTCTGAAGACCTGACTCAGGTTCGGCCTCGCATGCGGCGTGCGCAAGGCCGGCGCTGGAGATGTCAGGGGCTGGGCTCTGGCTCTTTTTGAGGCTTTGGGTTCAGGGTTTAGGGTAATATAGGGTTACTATGAGGGTTCTAGACAGGGGTAATATGTTTCTATGAGGGTTTGGGGTTTATGCGATTTAGGGTTTTGGGTTTAGGGGTTGGCACTGTTTAGGGTTTATAAAGTTTCGGATTCACGGTTTGGAGCAGAAACGGCCACAATTGGGTGTAGTCTTTCGTGTTTATGGGGTTTGGGGCCCAGGGCCTACAGATGTTTCATTTTTTCGTCTCCCGACCCCTGTGGTCAAACAGACGGGAGACTTCAATAAATGCAAGTTGTGTAGGCCGTAGTGCCCGAGGCCGAACTTGCACATTCAGCGTCCGGTGGTTCGATTTCTGAGTATGCTTCATTTTTCCCCCAAACGGTGCGGTGCACACAGTGGCATTCTACCGTTAAGAGTCCCTAGACCCTAAACCCTATAAACCCCCTATAAACCCTATAAGCCCTATAAACCCTATAAGCCCTATAAACCCTATAAGCCCTAAAGTTAAGAGTTGTGTCGGCGCGAGGCGGCCTTAAAGGGCGCACAAGAGAGAATTTCGAGCTCAAACGCTGGGGCGCAGTGCATAGAAACCCCAACCCTGTTCTTTAGGGTTTTGTAGGGTTTAGGGTTCAGAGTTCAGGATTTAAGGTTTACTCCCAAGGATTTAGGGTTTAGTAGGCCTCATTATTTACACGCATGCTCACAAAAATGCTTGCGTAAATTTCCAATGCATAGGCTTGAGTTTGGTCACGAAGCCCCTGACCCTTACCTGTAACTACATGGGGCACTTTCATGCCGCCAATACAAAGGGGCAATTATTTTGGCGAGGCCCATCAGGCAAGAGGCGGGTAGCGGTGTGGCAAGGGAGGGGGTGAAACGCTGATTCCCCTGGGAGCGAATTTGGCGGCGCTGAAAACGCCCGAAACCTAGCAGAAAAGGCAGGGAGAACACTCAATCCCACCAGCAGACGGGACGACCGATTTTAGCGGTGGAGGTCCTGGTGGTGTCCTGAAGTCTTCACTAGGGCACTGATTCAGCGATTATGCTGTTAGGCAACCTAGCCTTTTGTTGGTTCTGCCATCAACGTACTTCCTTCGATGATGATTTAAACGGTGCAAAATACTGGCCTGTAGGTGCAAGCAAACCACATCACCCCTCAGCTACACGAAGAACACAAGTGAAGATTCGTATCCTCATATGGGATTTCTTCAGTCTGACGAACATTCGGAAAACTCCACAACAGTTGCGGCAGCAAAGCCGCTGGTCAACCTTGAAGAGGATATGGTACGATATGGCATGCGTAGTGTGAGCCAGCCTGAAAAGACATGCGAACCGTAACAACAAGCAGTCTCTGCGCCCCAGTCCGTAAGCCAATGACACGTGTAGACCGCAAGCCGTTGTCTCATTCCAGTGATGGCACTTGGGGTAGGCAGAAATCATTGTGCAAACTTGCTCATGTGCTCTTCTTGGCCCTTAGACGAGATCCCATGCATGGAATGTAAAATGTAAAGCAAGGCTCTTTCCAGACATAAGAAGTCAGATCTGCGTACTGTTGTAACTTGCTACTGAAAGGTCTAATTTGCGTGTTCAGTTGATAACTTCCCACTGCTTTGCGTTGAGACCTTGAAAGCCAAATTCCTGAATCTTCTCGGACCCACAGCAAGGTGAACCCTAAACCCTAAACCGACGCCTAGCCCTTAACCTCGGAGGTGGCTAGCACGACCACAGTGGACCCTTCCTTGGTGGACACCTTCGGACGCAGGACGGAAGATTGGGGCCAGGACTTTCCCACAGGGGGTTGTGCAGAGTGCAGAGGTGTGACAGTTGAACTTGAAGGGTCTCAGAGCTTGCTGTTGTTGTGGTGCCTGTTGTTGAGGAGCTATAGTCTTTTGTCTATGCCAATCCCACTATGCCATTAAGCCCTAAACCCTAGACACCTGCTTCACTAGTCTGTGCCAATCCCCCTGCGCCAGTATGCAACCATGATAGTCTCGAGACGACTTCTTGCAACCTCCCCAGCAAACCATGCAGCCGATCAGCCCTGGCTTGCATAGGGTTTAGGGTTTAAGGTTTAGGGTTTAGGGTTTATCAGCAAGCTGCCGGTCAGGCACAGCTACCTGCGAGTCTCGCTGACGGACCGGTGCAACCTAAAATGCACCTTACCTAGAATGTGGCTTATTTCTGTAAAATGGCTGGTTCACTTCCCAACCAGGAATGACAAAGATGGTTAGCACTGTCACCCATTGTCCAGACGCCCTAAAACATAAACCCAGTGGGGGGCTGGCGGTATTTCACATCTGGCCCCTTGATGCTGCTTTTGCCACCTATGGCTAAACGGATTCGATTCCACCTATGCTTCATGACATGTTGCTCTCCCCTAGGGCTCCAGCTACCTAAATAGTCGGTTACTGGGGTACATGATAGATGGCCAGTAACCCACTATTTAGGTAACTGGAGCCCTGCGGCTCGAGTGAATGAGAGCGACTGCGCACATCTCTGCAAGGTCGCTACTGCATGCCGGAGGATGGGGAGGACCCGAGTGGAGCTGGGGTTTAGGGTTTAGGGTTTAGGGGTGTTTCCAGACGTCTCTACTTGGAGCTTCATGGGTAGTTATAAGCGGGGTTATAAGTAGGGTAACTATAGTTATAACCCATAACTCCACCCTAGAACTACCTATGAATCTCCAAGTACTCCGCGATGCCACGGAAAGTCCACTCAAAGGCTCTTGCATGATTCCTGGGTTTGAAAGAGGCGTCGCCGGCAACTTAGCACGCCGATGCGTGAGAGCTGGAGCGGTGCTTTTGCATAATTCCAGAAGTGCCCATGCCTTCTTCCTTGCACTCGGCATCGTCATCTTGAGCACCTATAGTGGTACCACTGGAGCTGCAATCTT